ACCACCTTCACAATAGCAGATGACACCACCACCTCCACAATAGCAGATGACACCACCACCTCCACAGTAACAGATGACACCACCACCTCCACAATAGCAGATGACACCACCACCTCCACAATAGCAGATGACACCACCACCTCCACAATAGCAGATGACACCACCACCTCCACAGTAACAGATGACACCACCACCTCCACAATAGCAGATGACACCACCACCTCCACAATAGCAGATGACACCACCACCTCCACAATAGCAGATGACACCACCACCTCCACAATAGCAGATGACACCACCACCTCCACAATAGCAGATGACACCACCACCTCCACAATAGCAGATGACACCACCACCTCCACAATAGCAGATGACACCACCACCTCCACAGTAACAGATGACACCACCACCTCCACAATAGCAGATGACACCACCACCTCCACAATAGCAGATGACACCACCACCTCCACAATAGCAGATGACACCACCACCTCCACAATAAGCAGATGACACCACCACCTCCACAATAGCAGATGACACCACCACCTCCACAATAGCAGATGACACCACCACCTCCACAATAACAGATGACACCACCACCTCCACAATAGCAGATGACACCACCACCTCCACAATAGCAGATGACACCACCACCTCCACAATAGCAGATGACACCACCACCTCCACAATAGCAGATGACACCACCACCTCCACAATAGCAGATGACACCACCACTCCACAATAGCAGATGACACCACCACCTCCACAATAGCAGATGACACCACCACTCTCACAGTAGCAGAGACACCACCACCTCCACAATAACAGATGACACCACCACCTCCACAATAACAGATGACACCACCACCTCCACAATAGCAGATGACACCACCACCTCCACAATAGCAGATGACACCACCACTCTCACAGTAGCAGGAGACACCACCACCTCCACAATAACAGATGACACCACCACCTCCACAATAGCAGATGACACCACCACCTCCACAATAGCAGATGACACCACCACCTCCACATTAGCAGATGACACCACCACTCTCACAGTAGCAGGAGACACCACCACCTCCACAATAGCAGATGACACCTCCACCTCCACAATAGCAGATGACACCACCACCTCCACAATAGCAGATGACACCACCATCTCCACAATAGCAAATGACACCCCCACTTCCACAACAGCAGATGACACCACTACCTCCACGATAGCAGATGACACCACTACTTCCACAGAAGCAGATGACACCACCACCTCCACAATAGCAGATGACACCACCACCTCCACAATAACAGATGACACCACCACCTCCACAATAACAGATGACACCACCACCTCCACAATAACAGATGACACCACTCCCTCCACAATAATAGATGACACCACCTCCTCCACAATAACAGATGACACCACCACTTCTACAGTAACATATGACACCACCACCTCAACATTAACAGATGGCACTACCACATCCACAATAACAGATGACACCACCACTTCTACAGTAACAGATGACACCACCACCTCCACAGTAACATATGACACCACCACCTCCACAGTAACAGATGACACCACCACCTCCACAAGTAACATATGACACCATCCACCTTCCTACAGTAACAGATGGCACCCCCAACCTCCCCAAGTAACAGATGACACCACCACCTCCACTGAATCGCAGATGACACCACCACCTCCAACAACTAACAGATGACACCACCACCTCCACAATTAGCAAATGACACCTACCACCTTCCGACAGTAACAGATGACACCACCACTTCTCACAATAGCAAGATGACACCACCACCTTCCCACAGTAACAGATGACACCTCCGCAACCACCTGCACCACCACCTCAATAACACGATGGACAACCACCACCTCCATCAATAGACAGATTGACACCACCACCTCCACAATAGCAGATGACACACCACTCTCCACAGTAAGCAGATGACCACCACCACTTCCACAATAGCAGATGACACCACCACCTCCCAATAGCAGATGACACCACCACTCTCACATATCAGATGACACCACCACCTTCCACAATACCAGATGACACCACCACCTCCACAGTAACAGATGACACCACCACCTACCACAATAAGCAGATGACACCACCACCTCCATAGAAGCAAATGACACGACCACTTCCACAGTAACAGATGACAACCACCACCTACACAATAGCAGATGACACCACCACCTTCCACAATAGCAGATGACACCACCACTTCCACAATAGGCAGATGACACCACCCACCTCCACAATAAGCAGATTGACAACCACCACCTCCACAATAAGCAGATGACACTACCACCTCCACAGTACAGCAGATGACACCACCACCTCCACAGTAGCAGATGACAACCACCACCTCCACAGTAGCAGATGACACCACCACCTCCACAATAAGCAGATGACACCACAACTTCCACAATAGCAGATGACACCAGCACCTCCACAAGTAACAGATGACCACCACCTCCACAATAGCAGATGACACCACCACCTCCACAGTAACAGATGACACCACCACCTCCACAGTAACAGATGACACCACCACCTCCACAGTAACAGATGACACCACCACTTCCACAGTAACAGATGACACCACCACCTCCACAGTAACAGATGACACCACCACCTTCATAGAAGCAGATGACACCACCACCTTAACAGTAACAGATGACACCACCACCTCCACAATAGCAGATGGCACAACCAATTCCACAATAACAGATGACACCACCACTTCCAGAATAGCAGATGCCACCACCACTTCTACAATAACAGATGACACCACCCCTTCCAATATAGCAGATGACACCACCACCTCCACAGTAACAGATGACACCACCACCTCCACAATAGCAGATGACACCACCACCTCCACAGTAACAGATGACACCACCACCTCCACAATAGCAGATGACACCTCCACAGTAACAGATGACACCACCGCTTCCAGAATAGCAGATGACACTACCACTTTCACAATAACAGATGACATCACCACCTCCACAGTAACGGATGACACCACCACCTCCACAGTAACAGGTGACACCACCACCTCCACAGTAACAGGTGACACCACCACCTCCACAATAGCAGATGACACCACCACCTCCACAATAGCAGATGGCACTACCACTTCCACAATAACAGATGACACCACCACTTCCAGAATAGCAGATGACACCACCACTTCTACAATAACAGATGACACCACCACTTCCACAGTAACAGATGACACCACCACCTCCACAGTAACAGATGACACCACCACCTCCACAATAGCAGATGACACCACCACCTCCACAATAGCAGATGACACCACCACCTCCACAATAGCAGATGACACCTCCACAGTAACAGATGACACCACCGCTTCCAGAATAGCAGATGACACTACCACTTTCACAATAACAGATGACATCACCACCTCCACAGTAACGGATGACACCACCACCTCCACAGTAACAGGTGACACCACCACCTCCACAGTAACAGGTGACACCACCACCTCCACAATAGCAGATGACACCACCACCTCCACAATAGTAGATGACACCACCACTTCCAGAATAGCAAATGACACTACCACTTCCACAATAGCAGCATGACACCACCAACTTCACAGTACAGTATGACACCACCACCTCCACAGTAACAGATGACACCACCACCTCCACAATAGCAGATGACACCACCACCTCTACAATAGCAGATGACACCACCACCTCCACAATAGCAGATGACACCACCACCTCCACAATAGCAGATGACACCACCACCTCCACAATAGCAGATGACACCACCACTTCCACAATAGCAGATGACACCACCACCTCCACAATAGCAGATGACACCACCACCTTCCACAATAGCAGATGCACCACCACCTCCACAATCGCAGATGACACCACCACTTCCACAGAAGCAGATGACACCACCACCTCCACAATAGCAGATGACACCACCACCTCCACAATAACAGATGACACCACCACCTCCACAATAGCAGATGACACCACCACCTCCACAATAACAGATGACACCACCACCTCCACAGTAACAGATGACACCACCACCTCCACAATAGCAGATGACACCACCACCTCCACAATAGCAGATGACACCACCACCTCCTCAATAGCAGATGACACCACCACCTCCACAATAGCAGATGACACCACCACCTCCACAATAGCAGATGACACCACCACCTCCACAATAGCAGATGACACCACCACCTCCACAATAGCAGATGACACCACCACCTCCACAATAGCAGATGACACCACCACCTCCACAATAACAGATGACACCACCACCTCCACAATAACAGATGACACCACCACCTCCACAATAGCAGATGACACCACCACCTCCACAATAACAGATGACACTACCACCTCCACAATAGCAGATGACACCACCACCTCCACAATAACAGATGACACCACCACCTCCACAATAATAGATGACACCACCACTTCCACATTAACAGATGACACTACCACCTCCACAATAGCAGATGACATCACTACCTCCACAATAGCAGATGACACCACCACCTCCACAATAGCAGATGACACCACCACAATAATAGATGACACCACCACCTCCACAATAGCAGATGACACCATCACAATAATAGATGACACCACCACCTCCACAGCAACTAATGACACTATCATCTCCACAGAATCATATGACACCACCTCCACAGTAACAGATGGCACCACCACCTCCGAAATACTAGATGACACCACCACCTCCGTGATGACAGATGACACCACCACTTCTTTGGAAACAAATGACACCGCCACCTACACAACGAAAATTATAATTGATACTACAACTTCTTTGGGAACAGATGACACCAGCACCTCCACAGTGACAGAGGTCAACACCACCTCCGCCATAACTGATGACACCATCACTTTCACAAAAAAAGGTGACATC